AGCCTGCGTAGGGGCTGTGCGAAGCTCGTAGTTTCTTTAGCTCACGTGCGACCGGCGGCAGCGAAGAGTCGGTACTGCGTACCGGCGTACCGCTGATGCCTATTTATTTTATATATTAACATCATATCATGCACTTGGAATGAAATCGAAATTGGGGGAATGTAAAGGGAAGGGGATGGACAAAGGACCTTCACAACACAAACGTCATTGGGACCGGTTCGTCGCCATGTCAGCTAGTGTATCCAACTAAAAGTGTTCATTGTCTTTCGGTCCCCAACCCGCCAGCAGGGAAACACAAACCAATGCCGAATTCGAAGTGAGGGTTTTCATTCCTTTCAACTAAATATTCGCTTGGCCAACACCTTCTCCTCTTCCATCCATACCCAACACGACGCGGGAGTCGGTGTGCTAGCATGCGCAACACTTGGCCCAGCCATCGGAGCCTGGTGTGTGATATAATGGCGCTGAGGGCTTCACTCGCTCTTTCCACACCAAATGCACGGTGCTGAACATTTGCATTGCTCATACAGTGTTTTCACCAGCCATGAACTAAGCTGCGAAGGCAGCGATGATCTAACGAGCATTTGGTGTAGTGCTTGCTCGCATTCGTCCGACGGCTTTGAAAGTTACTGCCATGGGCTTAACTGAACCGTTAGCAACACTCAGCGATGGCTTAACAAGATGCACGTCCACAAAAAGTGGAGGTACGGAATCATCACTCCAAGCTACAAAAATGGTAGCCGTGCTGAGCCAGCTAATTATCGCCTGATAACATTTCTTCCTGTAATTTCCAAGATCATAGAATCCGTTGTAGCTGAGGCCTTTATGCAGTACCTGGAGAATAACAAAATCCTCGTTCCTGAGCAGCAGGGATTTCGCCAAACCCGGTCCTGTACTATTAATCTGCTGCTAGCTCGTCCATGCTAGATAGAACATGTGGATGCTGGTGTAGGAGTAGAGGCAGCCTACCTGGACTTCTCAAAGGCATTCGACCGCCTACACTACCGCATTCTATTGCATAAACTTCAGAATAATGGTATCAGCGCTCCCGTTCTGGGCTGGATAAGCGATTTTTTCGTTCAAGGTCACCTGAATGTGAGGGTTCGCAGCACCCTGTCGGAACAAATCGAAGTTCAGTGCGGCGTAACTCAGGGCTCGGTACTCGGGCCACGCCTGGTCCTGGACTTCATAAATGATTTCGCGAACGTGCTATCTGTAAACTGTCTATTATTTGCCCATAATTTAGTCGGCGTGCTATTGCTACAGTGGAGGACCACATAGCCTTACAGGAGGACCTGGAGAAAACATAACATGGTCCATCGGGAACATGCTGCATTTCAACACTACCAAGTGCAAAGCTGTCAGCATACGGTATCAGAGTATTCACAACGACAGCCTAGGACCACAAATTCTACCGCGAGCTTCTCATGAATGCGACCATGGCGTGTTTGCTTAAGATGACCTCTGTTGTTTGAAGCAGACTGAAAAGGCATCAAAGAAAGCAAGCCAGCACGTCGGCCTTCCTTGAAGAGCGTTTGGGAAAATGCTTGGCGTGAACGTGAGGCCGCACACGGATTGCGCGATTCAAGCGTGACAACCCTGGCAGAAGCACCACCTCACCGCGCTGGATACTGCACAACGCAGGGCGACAAAGAACGTCAGAGGTTTGTTCCGCCTTCCCTACCCACCCAGGCTGAAAACCCTCAAACTATACAGCGGCCGTTATCGGCCTCTAAGGAGCGATCTCCTAATGGCGTATTAGATCTTAAAAAAACCTCAATTCCACATGTCATTCTCTTTTGAAACCCAGTCAAAGCACATCTCTAAGTAGTCATCAGTTTAAGCTGGTCACACAGTACAGCCGACTGGAATGCCGATGAAAGTTTCTCTCCCTCCGAGTTTCACAGCCTTGGAGCGCCCTCTCGATAATACATTAGTCCTGCTCTTTTGTCTCCAATGAACCCACATACTAATAGGAAATGGTCATTCAAACCATATGTCATTAAGGCTGACCTAAGGGAAGTTACCTTTTAGTTCGCGGAAACGATACTGGAGCTACGTTTCAGCTAAGTGCTCGCATATCCTTCGATTTTGCGGAGTTCTACCGTAACCAAACGGCTTAAACTCAAGCTGAGTCACGAGCTACCCATCGACGCGTATGAAGAACCCGATGAGAAGCATTTTCCTGAATGTGTAACAGTAAATAGTCTGTGGTTAAACGATACGTTGATCTTGGAGGACGCATGCCCGGAACAGACAAAACCCAAGCGCCGACCAATGAGATCTCAGTGACTGCGTTTGATGTAAGCTGTCAAATAAGCAGAAGTTAGTCACACAGCTGAAGAGTGCATTATCATGTAAACTAGCAGTTACACATCCCTCGCTAATGGTACAGCAACTATTTCTTCACAAATAGTTAGCAAACATCAAAACCGCATGGGGGAACATAATTCAAACAGCCCCCAATGCAAGCGAAGCTAATACGATATCAAGATCAAAAATAACCACGTAAAAGAGCACAAAACCACCACCTACTCCAGGATCAGTAGAGTTGACCTCATTATACCCGACGGAACTCCTGAGATAGAGGCACGAGATACACCGATAAAACACTGTAAGCTCTACGATTCGCTGGTTTCCGGTACCCGATCTCAACTTTGATCATCCGAGTGCTCACGGGTAATTTAACTGATTATATCCGACCACATAGACGAAGAATCACTAAACCAACGGAGTACAGCAATATGTGACATATGACTCCATATCGAAAGCACCGCGTCACTCGATATACGGACAAAATTCGTCCGTCCAAAGGTAGCCTCAATACCACACTACTAATCCGGTCGCATTTATATGCATGTACATAAACAGGATGTAATTTAACTGCGTTATGGACTACGTTGAGTAGTATGGATGCAAATTGGTGGGGGAAAAGGTAGACGAGCGGACGACAGAGGTCCAGGAAGCAAGACCCCAACTAACGCCCATTTAAGTTTGGCCACGCGAGTATATCCTACCTTGAGTGGGCCTGACTTCTGTGTAACTAATTTTGTTACCTCCCACCCATAAAGCGCGATTGCTAAGTGACGCAAGTTGGTTTACTTTAAACAGCGCTGCTGGCGTATTGTCCGAATGCTACTGGCTGATAGCGGTTGACAACTCATTGCGTTCCTGGATGTAATTTCGATGATTATCGGAGTATATTTTCTGCGGTACAGAGGAAAGGTGCTGTCTTACGGATGAAACCTGTTGCAATGAGAAGGCAATCAACTGAGAAATGGTATAGTGTTGTAGGCGGCGAGCTTGCCACCAGACAGGCGTTAGCTAAGCTAGGAATTGCTCACTGGGTGCCTTCACCATAAAGCAACAACGGTATGTTATTCCCGGGCGGATTAGAAATACATGTTATACTCGTACGTCTATCAAGTCAATTCGCTGACTAGGGTGGCGAATGAAGCTCTGTGAAATAAAGTGGGACCAATTTAAACCAATGGAATTCCGTTCTCTATATTTAAGTTAAGCTAGTCGTGAAATCACTCGGCAGAACGCCGCATTTCCCGTGCAGTGGTTTAGATTGCGTGAGCGATTAGAGGGTCAAGTTGACGGGTGATACATGATTTTCTTTCAGATAGATCATAGCTTCTGTAACTCATGCGTTTTGTTTGTGAGTTGTACCTTCAGAACTATAAGTCATGCTCCGAGGTTGCTTTTAACAGCCCGATTATTTGACTCATATTAACCTGGGCATTGGCCGCTGGCCGGTTGCATACGAAGGTGCGTAATGGGAGGGAATAATTTTCAGACAACGCCATACGGAAAATGTTTTGTACTTTTGAGGCAACGACTCAAAGGTCACACTCGTAAAAGGGAACTCCGAAAATGATGCGGCAATGACGCCCATGCTAACACTTGCAAATGTGCTTGGGGATTCTAATTGGATGTTCAGCTTCCGCGATAACAATTCGATGAGCTGTGGTTGTGTTTTCGAACTACATCTGTTGCTGCCTAAGAATCGCCTGCATTTATCCAAATGTAACTGCCATGATTCTTCAACCTCACCGAGGACAGAAATTGTTGTATCGTCACCGACTGTTCGCACTCCATGAACACAATGAGAACAAGAAAAACGAGTCAGGACAGATTTGTATGCAAGAGAACACTGCTTCCTTATATAGGGTACAAGTGGTAGAAGCAAAGCTAGTGGAATATATAGGAGTGAAGCAAAATCATACGTGACGTTGAATGACACAGACAAAAGAGAAGCAATACGTGTAAGAACCAATCTCATGTGTACGAGAAAACGGCATTGGTGGAAATGGAACCGGAAGGTCACATATATTAAGAATGACGTATCTAGGCCGATCAAATTAAAGTAAGGACGCATTTAAACAAATGTCAGGCGAAATGAAAGCCGGTAACTTGGATATGTTACAGAAATATATACACCATAGGCATCCTACTAAAGGAATGGTGAAGGTGGCTTTGCAATACCAGTAAGATGCGAATTAAGCAACGCAAGTGTGTCATCGCTTCCGCTTCGGTTGACGGTAGCTCTAGAGTCCCTCTTGTAGATTAGTTGCAGATGTTCAGTACGTTCACCCATGACTTATGACCCTAGCCTGGCTACTAACCAATTTATGTGCCCATAGGTTTACCGCTTTTTCGAATCACGTTAGGTCAGGAAACATCGTTTGGTCAGCTGACCGTTAGAAAAGTAACAACAGTAACCGATAAGTATCACTTCAATGGGGGGGGGCAATAGTGCATTTGTAAGTCCAGATAATCCAATTACATCCATCCTCCTACTTAGCCAACAATACATTATTAGTAGAAATCATTCATCCGATAAGGTCGGTTTCGGATCCTCTGCATCCGGATCAACTAGTTATCACGAATTAATTTACCGCCACCTAACACCTGTGGTTAAGATAAAGCGCACAAAGGACACATCTTCGAAATAGGAAACCTAACGTTCGAAAACATTTTGGCTGTACCAAATGCTATCGAGTTTGAAAAATGATCAAAAACGAAATAATGGACACGCTTACCCAGTATTCAGGTATTATCCGATCCTGTTGAGAGAAAAGGAACATGGGCCATCATTAATGCTGTATCGGTGGGACCATTTGTACGGTAACCGGTATGCAACGATAAAATTCAGCGAAGTAGTGTGGCAAGTACGAAGACAAGGTATTCATTGCGCTAGCAAACACGACACAGCGAGACAATATCTAGACGAGTGAAGCGTGTAACCGAGGCATCGAAGCCTTGCAGTGATCTGTTGCACCTCAGAGATCAGCATGGTGGCTCGAAAAAAGCCGACGATTTCCATAATCAGTTAAATCCTGTTGCTATAGTACAATCGCAATGCTCCGAATACAGTGATGGTCAAAAACAGACGTCATATGAGCATAGCTCTCGTGGTTATTCCAATCTCTCAATCACGGAGCAGAAGTACTCCAACCACAAGGTTGTGCGTCCGACTTTTGGAAGAAACGCCCAGATAATATGGATGCCGGTGATAAAGGGGACGACAAAAAACGACCACAGCTCTTGAAATGCGTAAAGAGAATACGTACCGTAAACTGTTAGTCCTAGTGTAGCTCTCAAAGTGAGGGAGTCTGTTGGTTACATCCAACAGTTAACAAGAAAGAGAAAGGGTAGGAGCAGCTTCCAGCCAATTTATACGATTATGCGGAAGTCAGTATGAACTGTGAAGTGGATCTCTCCAACATAAGCAGCGAACTTTTGGCTACCTGCAATGGAGCCTAAACTACGTCGACGTCTAAATCCAACATCCCTCAGCAGTGGCTCTTGGTCCCAAAAAAATTAGTAGATTGGAGGGTTATTTCGGAGTACTTGTTGTGTGAATGGATTGCGACGCGCAATCTCTATATGGACTGTGATACACATTGCAGTGAACCTTGGGACCGTAGCCGAAGCAGATGGAAATTGGGTGGTGCCCGCCCGAAAACACTGCACACCAGGACACGTCTCGATCACATTTACTCTCATCAGTTGCAGATAGCAGGCCTCGGACCAGCGACCATTGGAATAGTAGGCGAAACCCCTGACCTTTCGGCTACTGAGTTACGGCGGGCAAAGATTGACACGACGGTTACTGAATAATTGAAGGGTCATTTTGGAGTATTCGTTGCGTGAATGGATTACGGAGCGCAATCTCAATGTAGATCGCTACGATCCCCGTGATTACATTGACCAAGATTCACTTTAATGTGAAACGCGGTCTTCATTGATGTTGCGCATCACATTCCATTCACACAAGGAGTACTCCGAAATGACCCTCCAATTAGCGAACAGCTAGTTGTGCACACGCCTCTGACTGGCTTTCCCCCTGTTAGTTTTGCCCGTTTCGCTCTCTCGGTTTATCAGTTGTCATTGCGCGTTGCGCCGGTCACTCCAAATCGGTATGACATGCGGACAACTCGCTTGCATTTGAGCGGGACCAAGAGCAGGCCTGACTCACACCGCTGCAAGTCAATTACACTTTGCTCACTCGGACCGGTCAATTTGGGCACGTGGTGTGGATGCGTATACCTATGGATGGTCACTCCAAAATCTGCTTCAATTTCATTAGTCTAAGTGTAAGGTGGTCCACAGTCATCACCACTCGAACATCAAACACATGCTTGAAGGCCATGTCCTTCAAGCTGTCAGGCAGGAGCGCAAACTTGGGGTACTAATCCAGGCTGAACTGGGCTACGCAGCACAATCTGATAAGGCGTCAAAGACTGGAAACCAAAACCTTGGCCTGCTGCGGGGGGCATTTGGGCAGTGTGACCCCTATGTATGTTCACATACGTTTAACATATACGTGCCGCCGCAGGTGCAATATGCAATCCAGGACTGCCAGCTCTGGCAAAAGCAAGATCTCGCGGCCCTCGAGACTTCACAGAGAAGAGCCACCAGCCGTGGTAAAGCATATTTTATTAAACACTTTCGAACTATCTTCTTACCTGTTTGCTTGATGTACAGTCCCTCTTCGTCTAATTACCGTCAAACGAGACTGCCGAATAGCACTGTGAGTTTCTCTCAAAGCATAATATTCGAGTGCAGCTCCCCACGGAAAGTTTGCAGCACGTATTTCTTTTGGTACGAAAAAACATCAACTTTTACTTTCAACGAGAAAAATACCGACAGATAGACGGTACTACCATGGGCACTTCACTAGACCCCTTATTGGCGGATGAGTTCATGGGCATGATCGAAGAGAAGGCAGATGATATCATCAGATCTGCAACTTTACACAAGCGTTGTGAGGCTGATATTATGCATGTCATGGATTCTGAAAAGGACATCGTGTGTGCGACCGAAACATTAAAGTGTGTAATCGAACATTAAAGTTACGTGTGACAATTGTCTCCTATACCTAGACATACTGATTACACGGCGATCGGATGGGTCGAGCAGAAGATCAGCTTATCGAAAAGCAACCTGCACAGGTCAGTACTTTTTGCGTAGTTTCGTCGCAGTTAGCCACAGGCAGATAACCAACACACATCCAGGAAAGCGCAAGACGGCCGTTTCGTCCCACTGGGACTCGTCAGTAGCGCGCACCCGCCGAATCCTACCGGATTCGAACCCACGACCTTACTCTTGCGAGTCAGCGACTTATGTCACTGAGCCATGGGTGATGGCAGCGGACCGCCATGACTGATAGCCAACTACGATATAGCGCTGCTCATCCTCCACTGTCTTGCATGTCATGAATTTGCAGAGGACAGGGCTGGCCCCCAGAGCAACGACTTCCTTTGCAAGCCGCCGCCAATCGAGGTGGCATGTAAGCTGCTAAGCCAACTACTGATTATTTTTAAGTAGTAGGATACTTGCATGCTAAACGTATTCCTCCGGACGCTATTTTATCAAGTCCACATGATCTTTACCCCGAAACAGAGAAAGAGTTGGTGTTCGAGAGACTACAGTCGAACGGTAATCCGCCGAAGTTTTTAAAGCGCCTTAGCGACATAGCCAAGCGATATTGTGCACCAACATTCTAGAAGAAACAGATCTTTGTCGAACTGCCATTCAGGTGTGATCATATTAGGAAAATCACCGTGACGTGCAGATTCGCTCCGTGAAACGCGTGTACAATGTAGCTGAACTGCGGATGTTCATGTCAACAAGACCTCTGCTTATGTTTTCCATCAAGACACTGATAATAAGGTAGTGTATGTCCCATTGCTTATACAAATTCCACTGTAGCTAGAAAGACAGCTAAGTCAGGCGCCCTGATAAATGAAGACATTTCTAAGTGGCTGTGCAGCCGAATAGGATCGGTGACGGCGGAATCTGGTGAACTGAGTAATGGATCTACCTCAACAATCGCAAGACAGTCGCTGACCACCGGCCACCGAGTCATTACCGATGAGTCATTCACCTTCCTGATGCGCAATGAGCAGCCCCACTTCTCAGTCTACTGGAAGCGATGGTCATCCATCGAGAACGGCCACTGTTTTGGAGATATTTCGGTGTTGCTTTACCCAACGCTGAAATATTTCCATTTCAAAAACGGTCCTTGCGATCGGAATGACCGAGACCTACCTCAAGTGAACCGAGGTCAGAATAAAGGTTACGTCTGGCAACCCAGCCACACAGCCGGTTCTCCAAATCCAAATTTGGCCAATGCTTTGCTCGCAGAAATAGCTGACTGTGAAGGTGGACTTACTGTGTTAGTGCGAGGCGCGCCGATTGGCCAGCAGTTGACTAGCTATCGATCTCATAGGAATGTGTTAAGAAATTAGTCACCTGAAGCTTCCCAACTTTACTGGTCCACAGCACTCTACGATGTTACTCGTACTTACATTGATTAGGGACGGCGGTGTTGAGCAACCCTGTCTCACACCCCTGCAGATGTTAAAGGAAGCGATGAATGGCCATACACCGACACAAGATCTGATCTTCGAGAATGAATGTCTTAGGAAATGTTACCATGTATCTCGGTTACTTCTGTTCCAAATGGAAAGCTTGAGATTGGCTATGGCAAGTGAATAGAACGGCCTTACTATGTATACGAGGCAAACAATTGCTAGATGGCTGAATGTCTGACGACACTCAAGTACTTTTAGGATGGTAGAGATGTTGAGGATGTAAGCAAGATCAGATTGAAGTTCAAGTTATCCTTCGCATTGCAAAGTTATGTTTAAAATCACGGAAGGCTAGCTTGCCGAACAATCTCATAGTGATGCCAGCTGTGTGGTTCGAGATTATTTAGTTCCAGCCAATGTTTCGGCGGCAGTGTCCCAGGATATGGTGGGTTTACTCTTGGACAACGTTCTTTCCGTAAAAACCCACATATGTCTGTCTAACAACACTGCGAAGTGGCGGATGTGTCTCTCCAGTAACTAAAGTTATCGTCCCTTGCTTCACTCTGGTGAGGCATTATATTCCAGTAGCGTGATGCCGAACTTCTGGGGAAGATTAGGCGCCTGTTTGATAACCGAACAAACGAAAGGTGTATGATGTGAGCAACTAGTCACCGACTCCCAATGGTCGGGATGCCCAAACTTCACTCCATTGCCTTGCGAGTAGGATATTTCGTTAAAGGCTCCAGGTGTTGTGTCCTACCGTGGCTTGGGCAATTGGGTAGTACCTCGTCCGCTTAAGGAACTATGGAGTCCGCAACTGTTACTACTACTACTACTACTACTACTACGACTACTATTACTACTACTATCACTACTACTACTGCTATTACTACTACTGCTACTATTACTATTACTAGTACTACTACTAGTACTACTACTACTACTGCTACTACTACTACTACTACTACTACTACTGCTACTACTACTATTACGACTACTACTATAACCACTACTACTACTACTACTACAACTACTACAACAACTACTACTACTACTACTACTTGGCTCAGTACTGCTACTGCCCTCTCCACTGTTTACGCAATTCCAGCACACGTCAAACTTAACTTTTAGTAATTCTTGTTCCCTTGAATATACTTTCGATGACAGTCTCACCGTTGACCATTGTCCGCCCAGTGGTCCTTCTTCGACCTCGATCTCCATTTCATCCGCCAGCCTTCAACATTCCA